TGCTTTTCCTGACTCCTCTACAATGAAAGTATTGCTGCAACTAAGGAAGGGAGTCATAGACAGTTGCGCGGGGAATTGAGTCAGACTTTCCGTACCGAGCGTGGTTTGAACAATGTCCTCCAGCGTGGAGACTAACTCGGACTTGCTCTGCAATCAACCTCCGTGGGCATCCCTTCAAATTACGTGGGCATCAAAGGATATTGGAAATAAGATAACATTTTTTCACACACCGTGTATAGGAAGGATGCTGCAAGAATCAGAGGGATACGAGGCCGCGTAACTCATCCTAATCTGTCTTTCAGGCTATGGCAATTTTAAGACTGTCCACCATTTTTGTCGTCCGTCGTTACTCCTGCTCGACGGGGTCACTGTCTTCCTTCATCCAGGGCATCCATTCTGGCACTTCAAATTCCAAATGCGATCCAACGAGACATACAAAAGATACGTGCGAAGAGATCGAGAAGAAAGACTACGAGAGCGCGCCTTATGCATGACGTTGGTTGCTTTCTGGACGGCTTCGGCTGCACGGGTGACTTGAGTCCGAGACTATCCCGACAGGTCAAGCGTCGTGGATAAGAAGGTTGCTGGTTGACGCCCGCTCTCGGTTCACGCAGTTTGTCGCGTTGTGTGTGTGCGTGTTGTGTGGCGTGGCGGACTGGTGGGCTGGGGACGGGCTGAAGCAGCACCTTCCACGGCCCTCTCACGCAAGTGAGAGACACGCCGTTCAACCCCCGTTGTGTGAAATCCTGGTGCTGTGTGCATGGGGGCCAGGTCGTGCCGTGGCGCGCTGTCATGGTCAGTCGACCATGACAGCCACCGCGCCTATTCCCCACTCCAGTCTGCTGACCGGCTCGGACAGCGGCTGGGGTGTGGGAGTGGGAAGGGAAAGTGAGGTCGACGACTCAGCGCACTTTCTCCTCACTATAAACAATCTGACGCGCTTGAAGCTATTACGGTGCGCTAAAAGCCCTGGCTTGGAAGGTTGCCAACTGACGGGGTAACTTGGACCTCCGCCTTGACCGGAGGCGGTCTGCGAGTCAGGCTGCAATGGCTCCTTTTTAATGTGGCCCTTATGGCACTCCCATCACAGTGTGGGATCCGAGCCAGGCGTTGGCGGCACGCCCAGGTGCGGCTTCGGCCGTGCCAGCCTCCAAATCTCTCATGTGTTGGTTGAAATCCTGGTTATTTGTTGTGTGGACCAGGGGGTGTGGTAGAACGCCAAGGTGAGGATCCGTCCGAGCCATCCACCTGCGGCCTCTCTCGTCTCCGGTCTTCTTGACTCTGTCTTGACACCGGGCTCGGGCGAGGGAGGAGGAGGGAGTGTAGGTAGATGCTACGCAAGTCTACAGGCACTATAAACCCCTGCGTAAGTCACCATCCCTGCTCCCATTGCTGCTGCAACTGTGGGGCACACGGTGGACATCATCGAAACCGATGGTCGAACTGTCATATCGCCTGCAAACATGACAGCATCACAGTCAAACTTTTTAACACAGTCGTTTGTATAGATGTAGAAGATGAGATGACCCGAGACCAAACCCTGTGGAAAACAGCTTTCCACTGATGACCACTCGCATGCTGTGATACCTGAAATTAATTTCGAAGTCTTCATGACAGGGAGCTTTTAATCCATTAATGCAACAAATAGGAAGCTCAAAGGCGTAAGCTTTTTTATATCAAATACTGGATACTCACCACTAAACCGGCTGGAGTCGTGAAATGGCACTAGGTCTCTATTCTAAAGGGCCTCGGTGGTGCTTGTGTTGAAGTTTTCACATGCGAAGGCGTTTTGCATGTGGCATTCTGAATGCAACTGAGAGATGGACTTTCAGACTTTTATGAATGCGAACATAATTCGACCCATGAGTACTACTGGTTTCGGCATCACACATCGGTCCGCTATTGTTAACTCAGTTGCAGAGCCTTGAGCCAGCTAGGATGTAGACCCTCTGACTGGCGCTGTGTGTTTAAATGTCAGATCAGCAGATTTTTATGACGATTCTGAAAGGACTTTTTCGTGACAAACAGACAGTTTTGACTATCAAATTACAACATTCCTCAGCACTGCCGCATCGAGAGCCAAGTCCAACTCGGCTAATAAGGTGTCTGTGTGAAGAGTCACTGGGTTCAGTCCGCCCATTTCAGCCCCCAAAAACAATTGGCTGATCACAGCGAAGGCGCCTTCCGACCAACTCTTGAAACAGCCAGGAGAAAGTCTCTCTACTGCGCTGATGGGCAGCCAATGTTGGTGCTTACCCGGCGACTACAGAGGTACCGCACAACGACCCTTTAGTCACGCGTAAGCCATTCGGTCATCGACTTGTTCTTATAAAAGTGGTACACGGTTCGCTTGCTGCAAGAAGACGACGGCCACACCGTAGCTACCGGAAAAGCCGTGTAGGTTACTGTTGCGCAGGAAGATGTGGGATTTAACTCCTGGGATCTTCATTTCCCGAGCGTCTGAGTCGGGGATCAGGACCTCAGACAGGCAACATAACTATTCTCGCTGCCCCTTAATTAGTCTGACGCGCCTCAGTCTGTAGGGCGCACTGGGTGCTGTGGCTTGGAAGGTTGCTAGCGTACGGGATAACTCAGTTCTGGAGATGGGCCTAGTGGAATGAATTGAGGACTGGGAGTCAGGCTGCACTGATTCCTTCGCTATGTGACCTTCGGAGAAGTCATTACAGAGGCATAGCGCACGTAGCGGGACCAGGTCGTGTGTGGCACGTGTAGACGGATGAGTTGGATTTGCCAGCCACTGCGCCCGCGCCCACCCATGCTCGTCTTGACACCGACTTACCACTACAGCATGGTGGGTGGGGAGAGGAAACGTGCGGTAGGTGCGGTGCAAGTTTGTCTCGCCGCCAACTGACTTGCGCGCAAGATACCACTAATGCACCGCTCTGTGGGGCGCACGATGTGGGGCCATCGTTTGCAGAAGTCGAACTCCTATGTTGTAGGCAGCACAGATGACTGCGGCCCTATGAACACCGTTAATTGTCTCCATTGTTTCTTACTACATAAGACGCACGCGAAAGTTTCTGGCAAAATTCAGGAATATCTGTTTAGGTTGGTCCCGGCTGGAGGGACTAGTAAGAAATAGACCGATCTGTCGCGAGTAGAATTAGAAAAAAACAAAGTAGCCGCAAGAATGCAGCCTGACGATAATTTGCTGTTGAAAGTTGTGCCAATTTTTTTTACGGGTCGTAATATTGGCGCACTAAAACAAGACGCTTTTTCATGTCGCTGAAGACTTAAAAAAACACGAGGCCCTGTTGCCTGGATGCAACTGGCAGTCGCAAGTAGAGACGATTTTTTTGTCAACTATTTTTTCGATAGAAACATTGTCGACCATTAGAAAGCTTACCCTGGAACCAGTGGTGCGGAAGCTGTTCGTCAATCTCCTTGCCAACGCTTAGCAGTCCACCTGAAATTACGTTCGGTCATGAGAGAGACGGAACCCTTAATTGGCCGCATTTACAGTAGGTGGGCTAACCCATGAAATATCAACCGAAATTCCGAAATGTATTTTCGTTGTGAAAAGATTAATTAAGTAGGGTTGTAAAACTAATCATCGTACAGTAAACTTTTATAAAAATTCAGCTACCTCAGGATGCGGGCTTTCGAACGAAATTCTTTCCGACTGCACGTGAAAATCATACTCTGTTGAAAGTGGCTACTTAAGTAGCATACATTTTTCTCATTGATTTTCGATGTCCTTAAAAATTCCATTATATGTCGTGAAAACCATGCATGGAAATACTCATTCTTCTGCTCATTCGATAGAAAATTACATCTTCTTCCAATTTATACTCGAAGGAAGGGTATAATTCGACTTTAAAAAGTTTCTAATTATGAGAAATATGCGGCTAGTAGTTTGTAAGCCCTGAATGCAAGTGTAACGGCGGGTCGGGATTCAAAATTATTCGGGAACTGCAGAAGGTTTTTAAAACCGAATTATAGCCTTCCTTCAAGTATAAAATTGGAAGAAGACGTAATTTTCGACCGAATGAACAGAAGAATGAATTTTTTTATGCATGCTTCTCATGGGATATAATTGCATTTTTAAGGGCATCGAAAATCAGTGAGAAAAATGCATGCTACTTAAGTAGTCATTTTCTACGGAGTATGGTTTTTACATGCAGCCGAAAAGAAGTTCGTTCGAAAGTCGGCATTCTGAGGTAATTGAATTATTATAGAATTACGCTGCATGATGACTAGTTTTAAAACCCTACCTAGTTAATCTTTTCAAAAAGAAAGCGCATTTTGGAATTCCGGTTGACATTTCAGGAGTTAGCCCACTTACTGTATAAACCGGTATGTGCGCGGTTAACATGCTGCAGGTTAGTTAATCCAAGAATGTTCAAACAGGCAACAGTGCTACTGCCGTCGCTAACTATGCTGCAGGGTAGTCGTAGTGGTCGAAATGGAAGCTGTTGTTTACGCAAACAAGTGCACAGATGTCCGCCATTTAGAAAAGACACGGTTACACTCGACAAGTGAATAAGGAAGAGCAAACTCCAAGAGCCTGAGTCCCAGCGGAGCGATCGCACTAGCTCAAAGCTACGCTTTGACGCGAAAAAAAAGCCCAAAGACGGACGAATCCGGCAGCTGCCGATGGGAAATTTCTTCCCTCACACTATACGGCGACCCAGAACAGTTATTTGAGTCCTCAACGCTTCATTGTGGCAGAGAAGGCGATAGAACGGTTAGACACCCCTCCCTTTTGAAATCAATCCTCAGACCGCACTGCGCTCCGTGAACGCGGCAACCTCCGACACCCGTTTTCGAATGCTGCCCATAACGCCTGCGAGGAAGGCACCAGCAGAACTGTTAGGACGGCCCAGAACATGACGAATCGTTTCTGTCGTCTTCCCGTAGTGACGAGGACACCTATAAACTGTCCATCTACTGCTAAGTCCTGAAGCGTCTAAGTATGGAACCCTGGCTACGTCATTATGATTACATTTATGCTGTATTACTAGAAGCAGATCCCTACTATGTACGGAGCAGAGACCTGGACGGTGTACACGAGGCAGGCACGCCGTCTTAACCACTTCCACCTCAGCTGTCTTCGTCGCATTCTGCGGCTGAACTGGCAGGATCGCATCCCCGACACTGATGTGCTGGAACGAACGGGAATGCTCAGCATCTACTCCATGTTGAGACAAATGCAGCTGCGCTGGAGCGGCCACCTGGTGCGCATGGACGACGAGCGGCTACCCAAACGACTCTTCTACGGAGACGTCGCGACGGGTTCTCGTCGTCAAGGAGGCCCAATTCGTCGATACAAGGATACCCTGAAGTCCTCCCTGAAGCTACTGCAAATCAACCCGACCAACTGGGAAGAGCTCGCCTACGATCGTCCGGCATGGAGGAGAACAGTGAAGACGGGCGCTGCTATCCACGAAGCCAACCGCATCGCCGCCGCCAAAGCGAAACGTGAAGCCCGCAAATCACAACTGCGCCCAGTCAGCAACGCTGTCGCACAACTGCTTCCAACGTGTCCTCGATGGAAGCGGACATTCCGGGCTCGAATCGGCCTTGTTGGACATCTTCGGATCAACTGTACCCCTCGAACTGCACCAAACTTCCTCCCCCCGCCCGCGTCATCCTCGTCCTCTCTGCCGCCGAATAACTCTGTGAATTCTTCTGCACCACCACTTCCATCCTCCTCCTCCTCCTCCACCACCACCACCACCACCACCATCACCACTGCCCCAACGGCGGCCGCTCAGGCAGCCGTCTCGCACATCTCCGACCGCGACACAACAACCGGCACCACCCCCGCCTCTCCTGACTCCAGCAATGAGAATCAGGACTACACCTGTCCTCACTGCAACCGCACCTTCACCTCACACATCGGCCTGGTCGGTCACTTGCGAATCCATCGCACAGAGACCGGCGAACCAGTGCCTGAAGCACCAACCTACACCCACCGCACTCGCTTCCACTGCCCACACTGCCCTCGCACCTTCACGCATCGCATGGGTCTATTCGGCCACATGCGCATCCACGAGAGCGGAATCGACCACAATTCCGACACATCAACCACGCCCATTATGCCCAGCACCACCCTCGCACCGTCCTTCTGCGCCACTACCAGCGCCTCCTCTGTAGCTGATTCTGACACCGCCGACTTCAAGTGCCCACACTCTCCACGCACACTCACCTCACGCATCGGCCTGGTCGGTCACTTGCGAATCCATCGCACAGAGACCGGAGAACCAGTGCCTGGAGCACCAACCTACACCCACCAAGCTCGTCTCAACTGTCCACACTGTCCTCGCACTTTCACACACCGCATGGGCCTGTTCGGCCACATGCGCATCCACGACGACCTGCGGTAGACAACCGCCGGTTACACCACACATCCACACACTCCCTTCCCTCCTCCACCATCACCAACACACATCATCACTTACCCACCGCTTGCACCAACTGCCACCTTCCACGCAAGTGGAAAGTGTGCATCTCGTTTCGGTTCCCACGCGGCTTCGGCTGTACGGGTGATTTGAGTCCGAGACTATCCCGACACGTCAAGTGTCGTGGATAGGAAGGTTGCTGATTGATGCCCGCTCTCGGTTCACGCAGTTCGTCGCGTTGTGTGTGTGTGCTGTGTGGAGTGGCGGACTGGTGGGTTGGGAACGGGCTGAAGCAGCACCTTCCACGGCCCTCTCACGCAAGTGAGAGACACGCCGTTCAACCCCCGTTGTGTGAAATCCTGGTGTTTGTGTGTATGGGGGGCCAGGTCGTGCTGTGGCGCGCGCAGTCACGGTCAGTCGACCATGTCAGCCACCGCGCCCATCCACCACTCCAGTTTGCCGACCGGCTCGGACGGCGGCTGGAGTGTGGGAATGGGAAGGGAGAGTGAGGTCGACGACTCAGCGCACTTTTTCCTCACTATAATCAATCTGACGCGCTTGAAGCTATCACGGTGCGCTAAAAGCCGTGGCTTGGAAGGTTGCCAACTGACGGGGTAACTTGGACCTCCTCCTTAACGGGAGGCAGTCTGAGAGTCAGGCTGCAATGGCTCCTTTTTAATGTGGCCTTTATGGCACTCCCACCACAGTGTGGGATCCGAGCCAGGCGTTGGCGGCACGCCTAGGTGTGGCTTCGGCCGTGCCAGCCTCCAAATCTCTCTTGTGTTGGTTGAAATCCTGGTTATTGTTGTGTGGACCAGGGGGTGTTGTGGAACGCTAAGGTGAGGATCCGTCCGAGCCATCCACCTGCGGCCTCTCTCGTCTCCGGTCTTCTTGACTCTGTCTTGACACCGGGCTCGGGCGAGGGAGGTGGAGAGAGTGTAGGTAGATACAGCGCAAGTCTACTGGCACTATAAACCCCTGCGCAAGTCACCGTCCCTGCTCCAACCTGCTGTGGGGCACACGGCGGACATCATCGAAATCGATGGTCGAACTGTCATTGTATAATGCTACTACGTTTCCTTTTCCCGGGGCTTTATGACATGCGCTACCATTAAGAAAATAAATATAGTGTACCCTACCCGGAGCTCATAACCAAGTGAAGGCATCTAAATATGTCAAACTACCCAATGAAAGCAAGTAGCAACCACGTTAGCACAGATAAGGACCGGTCTGGCTGTAAAGGTCCTTCACTCGCGAGAGACCCAGCGTTGAGGCAGGCGTGCGGAGTAAGACCACTACAGACTTATGAGAACCTAAAACCCTGTTTCCTGAATGCAAATGACGGTCGAAATCAAAGACGAATTTTGTCGTCAACTTGAGATACCCGAGACGCTTTTGTTCGATGGAAACATTGTCAACCATGATACAGATTACCCTGCAACCAATGGTGTGGAAGCCTTTCATCAGCGTCCTTGTGTACGCCTAGTAGTTCACGTGGACTTACGGTCAGTTATGTGAGTGATTGGACCCTTAACTGGCCGCAGTTATAAACCGGTATGTGCACAGTTAACATGCTGCAAGTTAGTCTAATAATATAGACAAAATGGCATTACTGACAGAGGCAAGGGCGGCTGGAATGGTCATTTCTGGCTTATTAGCCGTCGTCGTCAGCCAGCCATACCCGACTCCGAAGTGTGGAACACCCGAGGCTCGAACTCGAAGTCCGCGCCTCTAACCACTGGGCCACGAGCCCCAGGATCGGATCAGAAGGTGTGAGAACAGCAATCACGCAGCGTTAAGTGCGGACGTTGGCGGACTTTGAGTAGCTTCAAGATGGTTCGATGACCGGTCCAAACTCCATGCAAATGCGCAGACAGTGACCAAAACACGTGCCATGTCTTCGTCGAGGGGCGCTTTCTAGCGTCTTTAGGACTAGGTTAGGTTTGAACTGGCATGGACTTACTTACTTACTTGTACTTGATACGGCTGCGATCATGTCTGATCTAGCCGGCCTCGATGATGTCCCGAACTGTACCTCTCCACGCGTGACGATCCGCGGCAGCAGATCTAGACAGCTCAACCCATTCCCTTCGCCAACGACGGAGACCGAATACCGAAGGTCCAAGAATCACCTCCATGTCTTGACGGACAGTGTCGAGCCAGGTTTTGAACTGACCCCCTCTTCGGCAACTGTGCCGGATCGAGGGCAGTAACACTGAGCTCCTGAGGTGGACGACGAAGAACATGTCCGAACCACCTCAGTCGTCTTTCTTGGATGGCCTGAGTTATCCTTGCGATGTTATCGCAGCGAGCGCGGACTATCTCATTTGAGACGAAGTCGGTTAACTTCACTCGAAGGATGATCCTCAAGCAGTGGTGGTCAAATACCTCCAGTTTTCGCTTGTAGCGGCACAGCAGAGAGAATATGTGCAGCATGTGAGCTACAATCGTCAGGCCAAATTCCATGTTTGAAGGGAGAAGACAAAGGGGACCAGAATGAGGGGTTTATTGTGCACAGAACCCGGAGTTGTCCTCTCAGGCGACAGTGGCCACTGGCAAAGCCAGGGCTGGTGTTGACTGCGTCCAGTCAGGCCTGAGAGTCCTCGAGATAGTGGTGGCAGCCGCTTTTGTAGGCTCGTAGGCCAAGCTCAAGTGGTGGCCAACCAGCGTGCGTTGCATTTGCCGAGGGGTGGTGTCCCAGTGGCTTGTTTTGCTGGTTGCAGGGGGTGGCGCGTTCAAGTGGCCGCATGGGCAGCTGCGACTGCGCGGACGCAGGTATGCCCGAGCTGTTGGTCGTGTGACTACAGGTCACCTCGTCTGGGACGGCTCGCTGCAAGGGATGAATGACCTTGAGGCAGCGAGGTCTTGAACAATGACGGCAGGCCAGTCAGGATGGCTAGTCGCCACAGCTCCCCGCCAGACACAGAACGAAGTGATGCTGTCGATCGTGAGGCAGGCGATGAAATGTGGAAAATTATCCAGTGCACATGTGGGTTTGAGAGCGTGTGTCGATGATGAGAGAAGTAGCTCGGACCGCGTGCCAATGGGGATGCTGCGACCTGTACAGAGGTGCAGTTGAGGCATCAACCCTGGGTGTGCTGGCGTGGTCTCGTCAACGTGTGCCAGTGAGTTGGCACGTTGGTATGAGACGGAAGAATGTTTCGGACACAAGGCATCCCAGTGAGTGCTGAGCCGGACGAATGTGTCAGTGAAAGAAGTTCACTGTCATCCAGACACAAAAATTTGGGATAGAATGCAGTGTCGAAAGAGTGAAAATTCATCGCTGTATACAGGGTAGCATATTGAGTGTATACAAGTAACTCACGAATGATGGTTTCGTCGGTAATGGGCGGAAGAATGTCTCGAACAAAAGAGATGATGTTGAGATGGCAACACATTTGTAGGACTGCTCTACACAGTTTGATTGTGGTTTGACCTGGACTTGTATGGCTGAGTTTTGTAGACGACATCAACCTCGAATCGCGACAGGGTGACGCAATTGCGTTTTCCTATATATGGGCACGAGGAGTGACACAGGAAAAGCAGCAGGGCGAAGTTGAGTGGGAATTTTGTGGCGGTTGATTTCAGCCACGTCTGGAGACTGAGCGTCGATCACGTCGGGGTCACCAGTTGTAGCGGCACAGCAGAGAGAATATGTGCAGCATGTGAGCTACAATCGTCAGGCCAAATTCCATGTTTGAAGGGAGAAGACAAAGGGGACCAGAATGAGGGGTTTATTGTGCACAGAACCCGGAGTTGTCCTCTCAGGCGACAGTGGCCACTGGCAAAGCCAGGGCTGGTGTTGACTGCGTCCAGTCAGGCCTGAGAGTCCTCGAGATAGTGGTGGCAGCCGCTTTTGTAGGCTCGTAGGCCAAGCTCAAGTGGTGGCCAACCAGCGTGCGTTGCATTTGCCGAGGGGTGGTGTCCCAGTGGCTTGTTTTGCTGGTTGCAGGGGGTGGCGCGTTCAAGTGGCCGCATGGGCAGCTGCGACTGCGCGGACGCAGGTATGCCCGAGCTGTTGGTCGTGTGACTACAGGTCACCTCGTCTGGGACGGCTCGCTGCAAGGGATGAATGACCTTGAGGCAGCGAGGTCTTGAACAATGACGGCAGGCCAGTCAGGATGGCTAGTCGCCACACGCTCATCCTCCACGCGCGAAGCCCAGCATTCACAAACGTAGAGAAGGACAGACCGGACAGATGCACGGTACACGCGAATCTTAGTGGCGATGGAGAGGTCACGTCGGTTCCGCAGGCATTTCCGAAGGCTTGAGAAAATCCAGCGGGCAGCATCGATTGGGGAGACAATGTCGTCCTTACTCTGTCCATTAGGCAACAGCCTCGCCCCGAGGTATTTAAAACTGTCCACTTCACCAAGTTGACAGCCATCAATCCCCAGGGGTGCCTTCTCCTGGTCAGAGATGCAGCTTGAGAATACTTTGGTCTTCCCAGCGTTTATGGACAAACCGACCGATTTAGCGACCTCGTTCACCCGTGACACCATAGACTGCAGATCACCAAAACTTGCAGCAAGTAAGGCGATATCATCGGCATAGTCGAGATCAGTCAGTCGATGTCCGAGGGCAAATTCAACGCCGTCACTGTCGCGTAGGGCCCTCCCGAGGATCCAGTCAATAGCGTAGTTGAACAGTATGGGTGACAGGATACAACCCTGTCGGACGCCAGACCGAATACCGAACGGTTGGGAAAGACTGTTACGGACCAGGACTCTCGCAGTAGTGGAGCGATAGTAGGCCTTGATCATGGCGATGATTTTTGCCCGTACACCATCTAGCGCCATTATCCGCCACAGGGACTCACGGTGAACGGAATCGAACGCGGCGGCAAAGTCAACGAAGCAGACGGCCGTCGGTTGTTGGTAGCTATGGCGAAATTCGAGAATGCGCCTCAGTGTGAAGATCTGATCTGCGCATCCACGTCCAGCACGAAATCCGGCTTGGTTGGGCCTCGTCCTTGAGTTACGCACAGCCTGGAATCGCCTGAGTAGGACAATAGCGAATATCTTCGCAGCAACGTCGATGAGACTTAGTTTCATGAGGTTTCTTGGGAATTTCGAATACGGGCGGGTTCCCAACAGCCGCTCGGATTGTTTGTTCGAGGTTGTTTCCTCTAGCGCTTTGGCTTAAAAACCTAACCACAAGGCAGCGGTGGCTAGTAAACTTATTTAATGGCGGTTTACGGTCGCCATGTCACAATGCCGTCATTGGGTTTTGTGGCATTTTATAAGGCTTTCAGCGTGCCAGACCTCAGTCCACCGCACCCTGGTAGCAATGCCGCTGCTGGTCCGCGACTGCTTATTCGTCAGAACTGGGTCTGCTTATTTCGCAGCTAACGTTCACTGAAGGTCGTCCCACTATCCACCACCTGTGGACGCGCCGGGTAGCCAGCAGCTAGGCTAACGGGCAACCCGTCTTCCCGGCATGGACTACTAGGCTGAATTAGAATAAAGAATTCAGAAGCGAAGTTGGCACAAGTTTCTTACTCCAATGATGGTCAGGACAGATCGCCCGCGACTCAGAAGGCATGAACATTGTCGACAAGATCAGCATGCCTAATATCAGCAATGATGCTACGTCACCGCCAGAGTGCGACTTCGGTGTGTGCGAGAGGCCTGTCGGCAGTCAATGAATATTACGCGGTGGCTGATGGATTTCGGCCCAAATATTCATGCATAAAAACTTTGGTCTGAGCCTACAGACCTTAAAGATACTGATCTACTCCAAGTTCTCAGTTAATTTCTAGGGAAATTGAAAAGCTACAGAAGGTTTTCAGTAGACGCAAAAAATACAGATGTAATATAAGTAGTGCCTGTGACCAGCGAGGAGGAGCATCACGAATAACGCGTTGGTGGATGAGAACGGGAAGAAACTGCTCCAACAGAGGGGGATTAAACGAGCCCTTGAACAGAGACCAATAAACGGCACCACACTGGAGAACCAACTTCGAGAGCTGTTTAGTCTAGTATCAAACGGAAAGGACAGACTGGTGCACAATCTGTCGTCAAAGGGGCTAACGAAGGAACAATCGTAGGTGCTACGACATGAAGCTTCATCTAACACAGTTGATGCCAAAGCTGTCAACGTGGTTGAAGCGGTGGGGCCAAGCCAAAGTCAGACGGAGGAGACGAAGAGGCTTAAGTGAAGGAGAAGAAAAGTCAAGCACCGGAACACTTTGTTTATTATCCTGAGCTTCCAGACTCGTACAGGAGTCCATCGTCAGAGGTAGTGACAGAAACAGGACAAGCGGCAGTTACAAGGCACGTAGGCCCAATCATCGACCGACGTCGCACGACTGGAGGTGACTACGCAGGGCTCTGTAATCCGGCGCCAGATCGATAAATCGATTGACCGAGTTCTCATCCGAGGCTCAGACTTCAATCAATTTTGGTCTGTTTTGTTTTCGGCGTGGGCAACTATTTTGGTGGCTGCGAAGTTAAACTCGTGACCCATTTCGTAGGTGCGGCTTATCTGACACCAAGTGCCGTCCTCCTCATAACTCACTGGTAGCGCGAAATGCATCCCACGATCGGACGTGGTGCACTAGGGGAAATCAAGACCGACAAAGACATCGTAATTGTGCTCGCGGATAAGGGCGTTCTGATGTTTTCTTGGACAGAACAGACCACTTTCGGGAAACCAAATGCTTACTGGAAGATAGCCAGTTCTATGTCCCATGTGCAACCAACCTCGTAAGAACGCTGACTCGCAAAATTAATGCGATGACGTTGTCGTCAATCGACCAATGCATGACGAGGACCAGAGAAACGGCCTTGGTCCGAGTCTATGGTCTACCAGATATGCACAATGAGGACGTTTCTCTCTGCCCCATCGTATTACTTAAAGGCACTCCACATCACAGGCTGGCAAAATGGCTATTCCGATGTCTCAAATTTCTGACCGTCGATTCAGACACAACAGTTAGCCCGTTTACACAATTCTTGGAGAAACTTCGGGGGTGAGTCTCCTGCCAAGTGACGTCATGGTGTCCTTAGACGTCACGTCCCCTTTTACTTCCATAGGATCTGGCAGTCGAGACTATCGGACATATCTTACAAAATAAATACAATGAAACTGACAGGCCCAAATCTTCCAACTCCCGAAGTTCCTTCCGTTCGGCAGGGCGATCTATGAGAATGGGAAAGGTACGCCAGTCAGTTCGCCGATTTCAGGACCCATAGCTGAGGCTGTCGTGCGACAGTTGGAGTCGCTGGTATTCAGACACCACAGATCGAAATTCTGGTCTCCGTATGTGGGTGATACCTACGTACTCATCGACCGGGACCAAACCCTGGCACTCAAAGGACATCTCAAGGCCGTCTTCCAGGTTGTACATTTTAAGATAAAGAAGCAAAACAATCAGTTGGCTTTCGTGTCATGGTCTGCCACAAAGTGGCCTAAAAACAAAAGCATTCAGGAAAGCGAAAAATGCGACGCACGTACTGAGCTACAACAGCAACCAACAATTCAGTCACAAATTCGGTTGCGTCAAAGCACTATGCCGACGTGCTGCGACCCCCTGCAGTGAACTGCAAGACAGGGTTGCTAAATTACATTATTTTTGACGCGTGCTCAGGACGAATGGCTACTCGCGCAACTTCGCCAGCCTGTGCATGTGCAAGCGAAACGAGACAAAATCCAACTGCCCCCAAATTTTGGCAAGCGCTTCCGTAAGTCAAGAACATCCCGGAAGCCGTCAGCCGCCTTCTCACAACCCTTGGAGTTGGTGTTGCACATAGACCGGAGGCAACCATAAGGCGACGGCGATGAGGAGCGACTTCAGTCCGCAAGTCGCGGCTCAATCGATGGGACCCGGTTACACACTCGAGTTCGAGATTCCCGCGATTAATAAGAGCAGCGATCCCTCCACACCCCATATTCCGTGCCGAGACTTTGCTCAGGCAGAGTTGTCAGCCAACGTGGAGATCGCGCGCGTAAGCACTGTTTCCGGCGCCAGTGTGCTAAGTTGTCTAAGAATCCGCACGAGTGATAGAAGCTCGGCAATTGGCGACTGGGCTGCGGGGGATTAAACGATTATCGCATCAAGTGAAACCACCCGCGACGAGTGCGCGAGTCGTCTAGTTTTTATAGTTGTGTGCGGGGCCTAGCAATCGCATACTGTAAAAACTGGGTCATTGTGCAATTTTCCCACGTAGAAAAATCCGTGATGAATGTGGGAACCGGTAATCTTGATAGGGGTACAGCGGCATGGAAAATGCGTCCTATAAATACTGCAACAGCCGTGCAACACTACCCTGATCTAATTCTGTCTCTGACGGTAGATTCGGATCAATCCGAAACGTCAGGCGAAAAAGCTCTTGTTCCAGCGACGTGTCTCCTTCGAGAATTCATTATCTTGGCGATACCTTCCGGAGGTGCGGGGCAAAGAGTCCGTGGAGTGTCTACTTTGGATTCGCCAGATCTGGCGAAAATACAACCTGAAGAGTGAGTTAAAATCAGAGCTAAATGAGTTTTAAGAGCCGCAAACTTTTGAGACTCTTCGATAGCAGCCGACAGCGCAGTTTGGCATCAGAAAGCACGGACGGCACAGGCCAATGAACATTGTTCCTACGCGGATTTAGCGTGCTTGAGATATGCGGCTTGCCCTCCCAAAGACGTCCATAGACCGCATTACGTGGAACACTCGTCCTGCATGTGTCTCGGGCTTTATTCAGAGCACCACAGGCCAGGGTGTGAACAGGACGACACCACCGTCCCTCTGCGGTTAGGGTGTTGGGCTTCTAACCAGCAGATCACGGATTCTGGCTTCGGGGATTTCAGGCGTGGGGGCGGACACGGCCGGCTTCCGACCGCTAATATGCCAAAAATGGCGACTAAGGTCTCCCCTGCCTGTCGGTAGTCCTTCCACATCATATCATCGGACCAGACAAACTCGCATGCTCAGACGGTAGTCCCCGCCGCTTATGAAGACGTGTCCACGTTGGTTATGAGCGGCGCGCCCACTAGCAGGTGGACCAGAGGTCATGAAGCTGGGGAGGTACATTTCTGCCTCCCCCCAAGACGAGTCTTGCTTAAACCACCAGTTCCGCACAACTTTAACCATCGCCTCAGCGAATTCACCAGAGACGCCGACTACAAAAAGCCCCTTCACCGCAACCAGAACTCAGATGAAGCTGCAGGTAAGCAACCATGTCAAGGACGCAGGTAAGCAGAGCACCCCAGTAAGGTAGGTTGGCACCTACATCCGGACACCAGCGACCAAAACCCCATACGCGCATCCCATTGCGCTATGGTACACTCCGACTTCAGATTGGTTGACCCAAGCATTCACTGTTATGCCTAGGATAACCACGAGGCCCGGGGTAGAAGAGAATGGAGGCCTACGGAACATCGTCATGGGACCCCTCGGCTAGTACCTGTAAGCAGAACTCCTGGCCCTAAATCCCCAAATTCTGGCATATGAGCTGCCCGAGGGCTTAAAAACCTCACCGTTCCCATCTGACCACGGTGAAACCCGAATACTGAACTAAACGTACTCTCCTAAGGGAGGCAATATGTACGACCGAGGATACCCGGCTGCAGTAAAACACGGCACACTCACGGGGAGCTCGCTAACACCGCAAACCCCACAAGAGGACCGAACACAAGTCCCTGCAATGCCTCTCAGCGTCACTTAGAAAGGCAGCTACTTGTCTTCAACATATGACAAGAAGTCGACAGAGATCGCCAGCCTACCTGTCTTATACGGGCAGGGCAGCTGATAGAGCTAAGGTAAAGCCAAAGTTAGACAGCACACAGTACTGGATTCTGGTGAGTACATAAACGGAGTAGCAATATACCTTAGACTGGGGTTTGATAGGACGGTGATGGAGACTAGATCTGAAATTATGAATGCAGTGCTGGTGGAAGCGCGTCACACGAAACAATGTACTGTGAAGACGATCTGCGAGGCACTGCTGAACATCGTGACGGCCACTTACACACTAAGTTCTATTTATTCCGGCCATAGTGAAAAGAAGTCAAATGGTAAACTGACGTCAATGTAACACACAAGCCTCTAAATAAACGACTGTTTCCGATCTTCGAAGAGATTTCTTAAATGAAGTCGGCAGTCACGGGGATGTACGAAGAACAGGTGTTAATAGAAATGACGTATGAATTCTGAATGTATATGAACTCCTGCGCTTTTGGAATTATATTAAGCACATGTGAAATTTTTGGAAAGGAGATTGCTGGCGATCCGTGAAACGCTGGTTCGGACAAATGGCTAGCGAAATCTAAGGCATGGGCATCGAGAGCGGGGTGTGATCGCCGAAATGCACCACACCTCAGGGCTTTTCGCTGGCATATAGGCGCGTCCAAGCACGGGCTGTAACATTAGAGAAAAAGAGGAACATTGACAATCACACGAAGTATATACATGGCTGGCGGAAACGTGCGGCAGGGCGTAATACAATAGGGGGCATATACTAAACAGTACAGTAATACAGTAGGAGGCATATACTAAACGGATGCGCAGTTTGGCAGACCTAACCGTCGCATTACCGTGCGCTGATATGAAATGCTTAAGAGAAATGTTCAAAATGGCGTCCGATGTTTACGTAGGCCGCAGTACATGACACTAGGCCGTCAGCACAGCTACTAGTTCAGAGGAATCGTGCAATTACCAGGAGTGATAAAGTTCTTAGACGGCGATGATGTGGCTAATGGCTTTCAATCCTGCGTCTCCAAACCCACACACTAGTTTCTGGGATGAAAAGAGAATGCGTCAAATCATTCAGCCGAAGAGTAACGGCAGAAGACGCGTAGTCCAAAGACTAACAGTGGCAAGGTTTTGTAGCACACACAGCCCCGAAACTAAGAATACGTGGTTCAAATCAAGATCACCAACGCCTGGCGCCATTCTTCTACATCGCTTTGCTGACTGGGGGTCAAACGATCAAAATTAAGGGGTCCACCGGTTATCCCACCGGTTGACAAAAATTAGTAGCTAATTTGCTACACCCGCAGGTGTCCACTTCAGGACCTCTGCAGCAGTTGTGTTTTGGTTGTTTCGTGACCCGTTGCTGTCATGCACCAATAACTCGTGCATCCATGCATTAGCAACTTGGCACCCGGATGGAGACAGGCAGCCAACCAAAATAAGCAGGAATTTCACTCAAAAAAGAGAACGCGAGGGCTTATGCATCTGGGTTGGTGTGCTCTTACGGGTCATCCCTAAGTACGCGGTGTCTGGCACAAAACTATATGTTTATAAGGACATTCGGATAGGACGAAGGCCCTTGTCCGAAATACTGAATATGCAGACATTTGGTTGCAAGGAAAGAAAAACTGGCATTAACTAGTCTGTTTATTAATCCTCAGAAAATCGACATGAAAATGAAGGGCGCGACGCGTTCAGTACTAATTAAGGACTGAGGAAACCGTTTTCATTCGTCTTAAAAGACGTCGGCATAATGGCTGCTCGAGTCGAAGTATGTTCGTTGTACGGCCACGAAGTCACCTTTGGTGTCAGGCTTTGTACGACCCAGTAAACCGAGTTGACATATATTTCAAGGACATCAAGCTCCCCGTTCCCTAGAATAGTGCTTAGGAGCTTCTACAAGGAGATACGTCGACAAAGCTTACTTTCTATAAATAATAAAAACAACTGAAGACCTTCGTGACACAGGCATATCGACTTATACCGACGCACGTGCCCTGCAATATGGATGAGTGGCTTCCCCCAAGAACACTGGCTGGTCCTTGATTATGCAGATGCTCCAAGACTAGGAATAACGTTTGTTAGCCAAAAAATGACCTGTGATAGACGCTACTTTTGTCCACCAAAACAGTACACCCGAATAAATACTGTCAAAGATAGATTTCACAGATTAAATTTGTTACTACGGAACGTGTCACAGTCTGGTAGCTGTGCAGATTGCACACATGACCCGGAAACTACAGCAGGGGAAGGAACAAAGTCCGAATTGCTATATTAAGTAAATGGACAAGTTAGATGAACAAATTTGTATGAGCTACCTTGACACAGTCCAGATATTTATTTAATAATCATAAATTGAAAATACAATCGGCCCCCGAAGTAGCGACGTTACTTATCCATAGATCGGTAGTGTACTGGCCCGGTAGTTGGTCTTTATGTTTTGCATAGAAGATGGAGTATGTGCAGCTTATGTGAACATGAGGATTGAACAGAGGAACTAATTTTGTTAAGGACAGAATCGACCCCCGGTCCTCTTAAAGCTTCTGGAACTATTCTCCGATTACAGGAACGACTTGACCGAACTAATTACTAGTAAATGCCTCTTATTTGAGCGCAGTAGATTGAACTTCCATGCAAGAGAACCTTTCCAAGTTACGTCGGAGAAATGCGCACTGGACGAAAATGCCAGGGAGCCTGCAGCTCGACCGTGGAACACAGACCACATGGGGTCTGAAGCCAAGAATTTCATGGAAAGAAGCGGGCATTACCGATTACCATTCCAAATATCCGTTTGCAAACACGCTCATTGTCGAACGGGAAGCGGACCGAACACGACATCAAGTTGATGCCAAAAGCAGTGCTACAGCGTCTCTTTGGACTTATCCAGAAGTTTACCTTACATGGTCTGGCAATTCATCTTAATTTCGGCTACTTGACGCCCAGAAGACTTAACTCCGCTGATGTGGATGTCAGAACAGAGGCAGGGGAACAAAACCGGCTGTCAGAGACTAGCTTAAAATTATGAGGACGCAAAGACAGCTTCTCAAACTAAACTTTGGAATATTACAGAACTTCAGGATCCACGTCCTGGCCCTCCTACAAGCTTTAAACAGTGCACAAAGGTACTAACCTGTTTCAATGGCATGACTTTCATTTTCTTTCCATGCCTTCGCAACATCGTTGGCCAGGGGATCATCGGGGTTAGGCGCGCTCAAAAGAGCTTGGATGGATAGGAGTACTGTTCGAATTTGCAAAGCTGGACTCCATTTACCTAGCGTTTTAAAAAATACGGAACACCATCACATAAAAGTTGATTAGAACGTACTGAGACCGTACGTACAGGACCGCAGGAAAAAGAGTAAACCAATAACGGAAAGCACAAACTCGACAAATTGCAGAAAAGCGTTAAGCTATTCAAGGAACCCCCTATGCAACTTACATAAAGGGGAAACCAGGAAATCCAAGGCGGTCTGGCATATTATTCGGCCAGTAGGCCAAAACTAACTTAAGATCAGGCGCACCTGTCAGTAGATTTTAATTGCAGAGGAAGAGCGTTCTCAGCAGATCCCAAAAAGGTAGGTTAGAAAAGAGTACTCCGTCTTTAAGTGAATGTCCCCGTAAAAACAGCCAATATAGACGAGAGCAGTATAAACACATCACGGGTATAAATACGGCCCGTGACGCATGCGGATATTTATCGATAGCCAAGCCAACGGAATATGTGGACTGACTAGCGGTGATGAAAAATGCGGCTACTTATGACTTAGGTTGGTTTGTATAGGATGGGGCCTTTCCGTCCTGACAGGAAAACAAATAAATCTAGCCGGAAAAGGACAACATGACTCGAAAGATGAATCAGTCCACACTGAATGGCTTTTTAAAACTCAATTACCATCGATTGTAGTTAAATTAGCTAAAGTAGAGGCATGAACAAATAGCGGCGAGAAGCGGAGACTTGAGACGCACTTTTGAGGACATCGAGGCAAATTCGACCCAAGTTATCGATGTTAGGATGATATATCTTGGTCATGAATCGACATTTTGGCGGTGACATCGGATAGTCCTCGGGTAGGAAAAGTTCCAGCTTGAAATAGCCTCCTTCATATGCACTATCCTTTGGACCCTGGACGACGACCCGGAAGTAACGAGCATTTGCTGAGTCAGGACAAGCCTCGATTCCCTCAACGGGCTCTTTTTGGAGCCTTAACGTTTCCTATATAGCAAAAAATAAGAAATAAATATAATGCCTTCATAATGCGCGCAGGGAGACCGGACGCCATCCTACTTCCGAGAAGACAACGTACACCTCCACACTTCCAAGTGGCGCCAAGGGAAAAGGGCCCGTGCAGGCTATTAAAACAGACCAGTTAGCTGTTCAGAGGTAATAATAACTGTCCACTTAGAAATTAAGAACCAGTCAATATGCTTCCAATTTTCGGTTAAATCCTGCGGGAAAATGGGACCGGACCTACGCGCTGCAGTGCCGACTATTATTTGGCAATGGGCTATTGGGGGTGGAGCTGCTGGCAGAGAGGCAGTCGGTGGCCATGGCAAACCGTGTGTGAACAGCATCATAGCTGATATCAAGGCAAGACGAAGGAAGAGAAGAAAGAAACGGAGCTATAACAAGCACACTAAAGATGGTGAAATGTTTGGAAAACGGAGGAATAAGATAGGGGGCGAAAAGAGGACGTGAGGTAAAATAATAATCATAATAGTCTTATTTATAAGCGCCAGAGGACCCTACCAAAAGTGTGCTTGCACTGATTTAATTAGTAAATTGCAGACAATGTAGACAGTACTGGTCTGTATGAGCGACTGGACGGGTAGGCGGGTTTAGAAATTTTGTCAATTGAAATTGGCAAAGTTCTTACATCCGCCGCAATTTGACATAATATATATATGACATTTTTCATAATAGTAGTAAAAATTCCAAACTGGAATTTTTTGGAAAAAAACGGTGAGCAACGAACAAGGAGGGGGAAAAACTCCCAGGGGACCGTCAAGAGAAATATCTGCTATGCGAATGGATGTGGAAGAGTAGGGCAAATTCTTCACGAGGGTGGCGTGAGAGCCTGGGGATGTTAGGCGATGGCTGACTCAGGATGGAACTGATAATTGCAGTTGGAGCTCGAAATCCCAGAGGTTGGAACGGAATCCTGATGTAGGTCTGCGGTAAGCGAGACCGGAGCGGCGTAGAGTGTGTGCGTTAGCATGACCATGAATACTGTTCTGATAAATTGGCTAGGGAGGACATCGCGTTTTGTTAGGGACATGTATATAAACTGAAAAACCGAAAATTGGTCAAGACCTGTAACGTGCGGGGAGAGGTAACAAAATGAAGCCACGTTCGCTGATTTAGATAAGAAATTTTAACACCACTGCATTCGACGTAGGAAAATAGTGCGCCTTGCTTCCTAGGCAGCGGAAAACATGGAATAACAAAGTTAAGGGTATTCCCTATCTGAGTTCCAGTTTGCACCATTTTTGCTGCCAAGTATTCCTCGAGGATGTAAATTAGGAAATAACAAATAAGTTGCTTCATCTAGTACCCCTAAGGGTAATTTCAGCGCGAGTAAAATGGATTTTCGAGTGAATTTTAGAATAAGTAGACAGACCATTTACAGCGCTCGGTTCGTGCCTATTAAATAGGCAGCCTGATATGGAAAACATTCAGCGAACAGGGAAAAAAACTTCCACTTCTTCAAAAAGGCCAAATGAATGTGATTTACTTAGTTTTTAGGAGGAAAAAACTGTCGTTTATGGGAAGGTAATTATGCGGGTCGGACAGAACTGTCCAGCACGGTCCTCATCAAGATTAAGTTCCTAGATAAAGTGAGATCTTAATATTTTCGAGTTGGCAGCAGACGCAAACGTCAAGGTGGCGGGACAGGAGGGAGCCACCGCAACTGGTCGCAGCCCGCTTAGGGTGCAGACGAGGAGGGGATACAGAAGACTGCTGAAATCATCGGAGCTCAGGACAATGCGACTATGAGGCCTATTTGCTGGCCGAGCGAAATACTAGAAGACGGTGAAAACAGAGGAAACCGCCATGAAAGTCAACAGATAGCTGGGGTCGAAATGATCGATGACGTTAAAATCGACGAAAATCATCGTTCGCGAAGGGGTATGGAAGAGCAGAGCAAATTTTTCTCGAGGGTAGAATGGGAGCACGGGGATGTTAGGTGGAGGGAGACTCAGGATTGTAGTGAAATTCGGGAAGGGGTGGGAACTCGAATAATCTTAATTAATCGGACCGTAGAGGCTAGGAAATCTTCCCATAATAATGCATGCCGGAGTCTTTTAACGTAATCTGTCAAGTTAACAGTTTTTGTGGTTCCCAATGGTCTGGACATGACTGCTTATGCTACAGCAACGAAAGTTTAGACCTATTCTGTCCATATCACGATCTTAGTTAACTAAGTGGATGGACAAGATTAGTTATCTAGGTTCAAACCTTATCCACGCTGGTGGGCGGTATTAATGCTAATTTTACTGATAAGAGTTCGGAAGGCATTATCAGTGCAATGCGAAAAACGATTTAAATGGCAGAATATATACAACGACGCTGGCCTGAACGGCACACTCAGACGACACTTCGTGAGGCTATAGAGTCTTTAGTTTGCAGTCTTCTTATTGACTTGGTCAAGTCTATCTGCAACAAAAGGTCACAATGAGGTCGTCATTTTCAGCTGAGAAACCTATTATAGGCGGTGTCCTCCAAGGTACCGCATTGGTTTGTGGCCTGTTTTCACTATATCTGAATGATAATTCACCGTCATCAAGACGCTCTAATTCTTTTATTTATGCTGGTGACCACAAATGTGTGCGTCCCTTCTCTAAATCTATTGTCCAAGATTGCATGGAACCAGTACACGCTGGCTTGCTCACATTTTGGAAACGGCTTACAGCATGGTTAGTCGAATTTTCATCTCTTAGTGTCGCTACATGTGTTTTAGGCCATTAAGTGCTGCCATAACTAACACTTTTTCAAGGAGCTCGATTTGTGATATTTTTGAACGAACAAAGAGATTTTCCGAAGGAAAGCGGCTGTTCAACGTACTAGACTTCTTCCACAACCGCTCGTTAAACGTCGCGAAGCTTCTATCAAGAAGTAAAAGCTCCTGCGAAAACGCAGCTTAACATGCACCGAGACGCTCTTGGAAATTTTATAGCTGACGCTCAGTTGACTGCTGATAGTTTCAATGATTTCTTGTCCGAAACTTTTATTAAAAGTTTGGCCGCTTCGCTTCTAAACAGTCAGGCATGGACCGGGGCAGTTCTCTAAACTATAACTTTCACTCTGCGGGGTGGGACTGTAGCGATAAGTCGTCTTCGTAAATCTCATGACAGGGAATCCGATGAAGCCCCATATAGCAAATTAAAAGCAGACGCAGAGAATAATAATTTTTATTCAGGACCTGTGGGGTAAGTTGATAGCAAGCAACGATAACTTTATGCATGAAGTTTAGAACAGGCACACTAAGTCTATACAATACTTAATTCATAGCTATTGAATAATTAGTATGATGCGAAGAATAATGAGCGAGCAGTGAAAAAAAACTCCTAACATATAAACGGAATGAGTACGACTGAATTGACACTACAGAAGAAAAAACTCGTTCTTAAATGCATAACAAGCAGGCCGGACCGGCCTGCATGTGGCAGTGTATAACGGATTTCATGAAAGGGTAAGTAGGCGGGTCAGTCAGTACTGGCCTGCATGTGATATAAAGTAAATGGTACGAAATGGACATCATCGAGGCAGCATTTAGATGCCGGATGAGCCCACCCATGTCATAGTGGTGAAAAGAAAACCAGTCTCGAGGCGATAGGAACCCAGACGCAATCGGTTACAGTCAGTATAGTCCAGCCAGGGAGGGGGCAAGGGAGATGCGACCAGACTACTAGTATATGGCGAATACAGAAGGATTCGCCAAGAGCGTCGATGAAGCGCATTCTGTGAGGCACAATGCATGGACGGAAAAATTAGCAAAATTAACATTTCTGGCGAGGGATCTTAGGAAGCGAGACCACTCACAAAGGAAGGAAATGTGAGCAGATACGGAAATTTAATGGCAGCGTCCTAAATTCCCAGTGGACCTTTCTCAGTGTCATAGAGAAAGTTGTCCGAGAAGGATGAGGAAAATAAAAGTTTAATCGAGTCAGTATTCAGATAGAGGCATAGCCTTGTCTTAAAGGTGTTTAGATTTTCTGAAGATCTTATATTTATTGGAAGGTTATTCCAGAGGAAAGTATACCTGGAGGCGAAAAAAGGGAGCGCTTAGAGGTGGAGGAAGCCGGAGGAGGTATAATTAAGGAAGAGTAGCAAAGATTGTATGGGCGACTACTAGGGGTGAGTGCTGAAATCCGAGGAAAATTTGAACTATGATCAAGGCGAAAGAGGAGACAGAAGCCCGCTTCTAGTCTTCGAATCCATAAAAATTTTAGGTTAATTAGCTGGCATCTATCTGAGTAGGAGATATTGGGATGTTCCCTATCTAAAAGTTTTTTTAGAAAAACGTCTTTCGACATTTTCAATTTTTAAACGACTGGCTTCATTCATCAAACCAAAGAATGGGCAACAATACTCGAGAATGGGAAGTGCAAACATACGATAGAGCCTTAATTTAATCTAAGGAAGATAGAAATTGTAAGAAATAAAGCCACAAATCTGGGCAGCTTTGGCTGTAATTCTGTCAGCGTGTGGCGAGAGATCGAGATTACTAGTGTAGCTTAAACCTAAATTCTTGATGGTGGTACGTTCAGTCATAGGTGTGCCATGAAAGACCACTGGTTTGGGTAGCCTATCAGGCCCCAAACACATATAGTGACATTTAGAAGGAGAGAATTCCATTAGCCATTTTGAGATCCAAGCTGAGAAAGCAAGCAAGTCAGCATGGATTTGCTCCAGGCAATGAAGGCTCGTAGATTTTTTGAAAGAATATACACATTTGAGATCATCGGCATGAATAAAGGATTGAGAATGTTTAAATGCTGCTGAAATATCATTTACGTAAAGCAAGAACAAAAGAGGACCTAAAACGCTACCTTGTAGGACACCGCTTACAATAGGACTTTCACTGGAAAGTTAGGATCCCACTAAAACCTTTTGTTTAAGATTAGACAGGTATGACGTGAGAAAGTCTATTAGTTGACTGCGAATTCCCATAGCTTCCAATTTAATCAAGAGTCTTTTATGTGGCACTTTATCAAATGATTTACTAAGATCAAAATAAATAACGACAACAGATAGGTGATCATTACGAAGAGAAGTAAG